AATGATTCATGCATGGCCAAAGACAAGATTGGGTTACAGAAGCAACGACGAGATGCGTCTCATCACCGGAAGTCGAGATGGTACATATTTAGCTATGAACATCTGTTTTAATAAGGAAATATGGGCCATCGATTTTCGTCGTGTTGATCCGGTACTGTCGCTGCTTAGAAGAATCGAGTCCCCTTTTAGAGTGTCTCTCTACCATAAATTAGAACTATTCGATATGAATAACGTATGGATGATTATCGACGACGACAACATACTTTATACACTCAACGTGTACGATAATCGTATACCTGAACAAGTAGAAGCAACAGAGATTAGCCGAGAAGGAGATCAAACTACATATGGTTATCATCATCTGCATATGCGGTACTTTTATCACAATGGATATTTGATTGTAGGCATGCCTTGTCCTGATGGCAAAGGAAAACTTTGTTTTTTTCGAGTGCAGTATTGATTCATTCATTGTTTGTTTACTAATCAAGATATAGAGAAAATGAAGTATAGAACTGCAACGAACATTATGATTTAACTAATCATATCGTATTTATTTATTGATATTTCGACAATATTCTTTTGTCATCATCAGAATAAATACAGAAATTCATAATAAGAGCAATACAGAAAGACATAAGTTAAGAAAAAAACAAAAATAGATAAAGAAGGTGTGGATGTGGATGTGGGGTGTGAGGTGGGGATGGGGGTGCGTATGAGACGGTGTGGTGTGTGTAGGCGAGTGTTGGTATGAGTGCGTGTAAATCTTCTCTTAGCCTACACCCACACCCTAAAGTTTGGACAGGTTTCAGTGCACAAAAAAACGTCGAAAGTAAACGTAAAATTTATTTCAGATATCCCCAAAGAAAGAGTAAACATTTCTCTACAAAATGATAGCCTGGTCATTAATTTACAATGAGGCTTCTCTGAGTAATAAGAGTTTTAGTAAGAGACACAGAGACGTTTTCGAAATTCCCTGGTTTCCAGACTGTCAAAAAGAGCTTGATTATTTCTGAAAAAATGCTGCGAGATGCTCAGTTCCTAGCTCACTTTGTAAAGATCGGACTCGCCCTTGACGCTGTGTAAAAAATTGATAATAGAAGAAATTCAATAAGAGATATTATTGTTGAGAAGGACACATGTTGTCAAGATGCTAATCCAAAAAATTTCAAAACGCGATGTAATCAAGGAAGAGGAACCTTGGACTAAGCTGAATTGGACGTCTTTATGACGGAAATAAGATAGTACCGAGAAAGTTTGGTGAAAAAGAGTAGAAAATCAATTCCAAAAGACATATGATCACATTTTGGTTCTTTGGATCTGTTAATTCAACTGCTTTCGTCCAAACTTTATTTTTGAGCCATCCAAAGATTCGCTTATAACTTCTAAACTATGAGTCCTACGACAATTCAGAGCATAAATTCTGAAAGAACATAAAATTCTAAATCTAACCCATTGTTTGAAAATTTCTACTGACATACTTAGTCGGTCGAAAAATGAAGAAATATTTTGTGCGGAAACTTCCAGACCACCCGTTAGCTGTGAAAAAATTATGCTCCCATTAAAAGTTTCACTTTGGGAAACTGAACAATTTGGCTCACATGTAGTTCGATAGAGCTAAGTGCGAGCTATCAGACTATATATAGAATGTTCTCTTTTGGTCTTAAAATGAAGAAAATGTTATTGTAAAATCCAGAACTTTTTAGTTTCACGATAACTTTTCCGAAATTTCAAAAATTGTATCTCGCTCATTTTAACCTGAGTCTATATTCAAACCTTTAGCAATTTAGTATCAAAATGATCAACTCATTGAACTCTACAAACTCTGAAAGTTTCAGTCGATTCTCAGAATATCGTGTATAAAGTGGTACGTTTCCGATAGATTCACCCCAATTAGATTTGTAGTTGCTTCATTCTGGGCAATATTTCTGAACTTCACAAATGTGCTGGAATGAAGCTAACAGGAACTTTACGTTAGAATAGAACTCGATTCTCAAAAAAAAAATCGGTTCAATAGAACTTAGAGTTGTCGCAGGTCTAATTACAAGCGACTCGATTGAATATTGATACTATTTGTTGATAAATTAAATTGAGTTTATATCTATTTTACTTTCTATTCTCAAAATGTTCGTAATATATTTTAGAAAGTTTCATAGTCAAAATAAATACACTATATCGAAGCTGCCAGAGATGGGATCGGTTCGGTTCCAAAGAAAGAAAAAGCATACGAATCGATCCTATCTCTGATAGCTGCCAAAATTGAAATTCATATCCAATCATTTACATTAACTTTTAAATAACAAAAGATTTGTCCAAATCCTCTGAAATTACACTCTAATAGATTGAATGTATTAAGTATCGAGTAATTACTTTTGACAAATACTAAGTGAGAATGCTTATGTAATTGTAAATTTGCACGATATCAAATGTTCATATATGTCGTCTAAAACATGTACTAATGTGATGTGTATACTTGTAAATATTATCAAACATGAAGAATCACATGAATGAATGATTGTACTGTTAATTCTATTAGTAAGAAATTCAAATGTCGATTATGTCTGCCATCTGTCGCTTTTATCATTGTATTAAGATGGAGAAAATTGTCAGTGACTAAGAATGGTTGTCATCACTAATTGACTGTACGACGACGTGTTAATACAGAACGAATATTTTTAAATATAAAAATTTATTTCTTATCTTCTTTTCTTTTTTTTGTTAATACGTAATTTGTTTGCATTTTCAATCAAGTGAGAAATTTATAAAGAATGTCAGCATCAGCTATTTATATCTTGGATATGAAGGGCAAAGTAAATTTTAAATAATTTCTATCAGAATTAATAAATTTTTATTTATTTTGTCAGGTTCTTCTATCTCGAAATTATCGTGGTGATATTGAAATGAATGTTATTGAAAAATTTATGCAATTATTATTAGAAAAAGAAGATGAATCTCAATTATCACCAATATTTCAACATGGTGATGTTGCATTTGTTTATATAAAATATAATAATGTTTATCGTAAGTATTTTTCTATTTTTTTGCTCTCATTATTTCTTCTTGACACTTTTTTTTTCAATAATATATATAGTTGTATGTACAACAAAAATAAATGCAAATATTGCAATGGTTTTATCATTTCTTTATAAATGTGTTCGTGTATTTTGTGAATATTTTAAAGAGCTTGAAGAAGAATCAATTCGAGATAATTTTGTTATTGTTTATGAATTACTTGATGAATTAATGGATTTTGGTTTTCCTCAATCGACTGATTCAAAAATTCTTCAAGAATATATAACACAAGAAGGTCATAAACTTGAAGAAGTTCGTCCACCACCAGCATTAACACATCAAGTTAGTTGGCGATCAGATGGTTTAAAATATCGAAAAAATGAAGTATTTCTTGATGTAATCGAATCGGTTAATCTTCTAGTACGAATCTTTTTGTTTTCTGACATTTCATTTGAAAAAGAATTATTATTTTTGTTTTTTGTATATAGGTTAGTTCGAATGGTAATGTTCTTCGCTCAGAAATTCAAGGTATAATTAAAATGCGTGTATATCTTACTGGCATGCCTGAATTACGTCTTGGATTAAATGATAAAATTCTTTTTGAAACTACTGGACGTATGTTTAATTTAATTTTTAAATAAATTGAAATTATTTATTTTATAATATTTAGGTACAAAGAATAAAGGTGTTGAATTAGAAGATGTAAGATTTCATCAATGTGTTCGTTTATCTCGTTTTGAAAATGATCGAACTATATCATTTGTTCCACCGGATGGTGAATTTGAATTAATGTCTTATCGACTTAATACACAAGTGTGAATTTTTTAATTAGAAAAAATTCTTTTGTATTTATTTTTTGATTTTAGGTTAAACCATTAATTTGGATTGAATCTGTGATTGAAAAACATGCTCATTCACGTGTTGAATATATGATTAAAGCTAAATCTCAATTTAAACGTCGTTCAACAGCAAATAATGTTGAAATTATTATTCCTGTTCCATCAGATGCAGATTCAGGACGATTTAAAGCTACAACAGGTTCTGTTAAATATGTTCCAGAAAGAAATGCTATGGTTTGGTCAATTAAATCATTTCCGGTTTGTTTTTACTTTTTTCTTTCTTCTTTTTTGAATTTCTAACTTTTTATATATACAGGGTGGTAAAGAATTTTTAATGCGTTCTCATTTTAAATTACCAAGTGTTCAAAGTGAAGATTGTGAAGCTAAACCACCAATTGAAGTTAAATTTGAAATTCCTTATTTTACTACATCAGGCATTCAAGTAAAAGAATATTTTATAATTCTTGTTTTTTTTTTCTTCCTATCTGATATCACTTTATTCTAGGTTCGATATTTAAAAATAATTGAAAAAAGTGGTTATCAAGCATTACCATGGGTTCGATATATAACACAAAATGGTGATTATCAAATACGGACGCAATAATTATTAATTTGAATTTCTTTTTTTTTTTTTTGTAAATTCATCGTTTTTTGATCAGTTTACCTACGTACATTCCGAAATATGTGACAATTGTTTTTTTTTTCAGTATTTTAATCTTTATTAAAAAAAAAAAGAAAAATATTTGCGAAGAAAATAATGGTTTATTTCATATACAGTAATAACAGATTTCTAGGGTTGACTATTTGTGTACATTGATTGTTGTTGTTATTACCAAAAAAAAAAAAGCGAAGATAGATAGAACTCTATTTTTGTACATGCTGTCATTAGTTATTTATCTGACAGTGCAGTCTACATTCTTCTTATTGCGATAGAAAAGAAAGAAAGGAAGAAAGAAAGAATCAACATCTACCCTCAAGCCGACTAACAACAGCTTTACTAGTGACATTATTTTTTTTTTTTGCTTATTCATATTTGTCGTTATATTAGGTGGGTGGAGAACAGTGTATATATACGTATTTGGTAGTGAATATATCGAATATCGTTGCTAATATATTGTGTATCCATTTATAGTTTAATAATAGAATATATCAATGCCTGCTTCACGAGCTTTATGTGCTGCACCACGTCATGTTTATGCTGGAACAATATCAAATAAGACAAATAAATCATTAAAATGTACAATTCACTATGCAACTAGTACAAGTAGTACTAATATAAATGAATCAATGTCCGTTACATTAGATGCTGGTGGTCGAGCTTGTATACCAGAACGAGAATATCAACCAACACCTGAAGCAACATTTACTTGTCGAAAAGTTGTTTCTCGAATAGAAGTTCATAATGATGATAAAACATATACACTTGAACAACCATTTAATGGTGTTACATGTCCAGTAACTGAATGGATATTTGATATACATGATGATCATGTTGCTTCAGTTAATCCAAATACATTACCACAGCAACAAATACAGAAAATTCTGTCAGAGCTCAATGATTAAATATCGAACAAAACATTTTTATTATAAATATATAATGAACATTTTAAATAAGAGTTAGAAGAATATTTGAATTACTCGGTTGTCGTATTATTCTTTTATTAAATATTATTTTATATAGTTTTGTATTTAAAAATTCGAGTAAACATTTATTTCATTTTTTACTCGATTTATCTGTATTAGAAAAATTATTCATTGTTGAATAATTATCTTGTTTAAGTTGACTGACATTTACATTTAAATCATTTTTTTTTGAGTAATTCTACAAGGTGAACGAAGTAGTGGATGTAATGATATTGTTTTATCTATTTCTTCCAATATGATTCATCACAATTTCTATGAGTTATTCAGTTATCAATGTTCTTAGATTGAAACATGTTTGCTGTTATAGATGATAAAATTTTTTTGTTCGTTGATAGTTTTTGTTAACAGTAGAATTCTTAGCCTATATCTGTATCAATGTTCTATATATGTATGATATACTTTCAGTGGATGAGAAATTTTGGATAGATTGTCAGCACTCTCGTTGACAGGTTGATATCTAAGTCTATATTTGTCTTTTTGTTTTTGTTGTTGTTGTTATTGATGATGACGACGAACAGTATCATTCTTATTATTGACATAGAACAGCAAATGGTAGAGAGAGAGAGAGAAAAATGGAATAATTTATCAGAAATAATAATAACAAAAGTAATAAATACAAAGAAAAATTAACAGACATATTAAATTATCTAAAGGTCCTATTAGTAGTCAATTGGTTAGATTTGATATCAATATGAAATTAAACAAGATTCAAGGTATTATCCTAGAAAAAATGTTATTTTGATTATGAATTATTCTATATGAGTTAAAGCATTTATTGAAAGATTTTTCTGTACAGATGTAACCATAATTGATTCAATACTAATGTTGTTGTCAAAAAAAGCAATAGATCTAACTAGTTTTTTCAATAATTTTTAATATAGGAACAATATAGAGATCTAGAGTTTTCATCATTCAAGGGAGAATACTCTGAATCATTCATGTATGCCAAAATCTAATTGATCAACAACTGACCAATCAGTTGAGTTCTGTACAGAGATTTTCAAAAAAGTTCACCTTGAATTTTGACTTGTAATCTAATCAATCGATAGGAAAAATCCTTCCTTTTCAATCTACGCAAGTCCTAACTTTCTAGTATGTTTCGTTTCAGAGTTACAAGAGTTTTCTCATTAGCAGATTTCAAAAGAGCTCGAGACAGCGATAATTCATCATGGTGATGTTTGTAAAATCTTGAAAGTAGTCTCAGATTGCTTTAAAACTGAAAACAAATATTATCATGATGAATTACTTCTGTCTTGAGCTCTTTTGAAGTCTTCTAAGGTTAATGTTCTGAAATCAGAGATCTTGAGAAAACTTTTGTAGCTCTGGAATGAAACATGCTACGAAGTTGAAACTTGTGTAGATCGAAAAGGAAGAATGTTTTTTTTATGGATTGATTATCTTCGACGTTGAAATTCAAATGTAAATTTTGTCAAAATCTTCACAAAGAACTTAATTGATTGATCAGTTGTCGATCAATCAGATTTTGGCATGCGTAGATGATCTAGGGTTTTTTCTCTTGAATCATGTCAATTCCAGTTCTCTGTGTTATTTTTATCAAAAGTTATTGAAAAAAACAGTCAGATCCATTACTTTTTGAAAGCGAGAAAGTCATAGCTATTATCGAGTTAAATGAATGACAACATGTCTACAAACGTTGTTTTTCTATTTGTTGTCAATATATTCAATGCACTTGTATAATTTCTCTTCACATATTCGAGTATGAGTATGAGTAGTTGCTGTGAAGATGAACACCTGCACACACACACACATACTCTCAAGATGGTGACATTGACGTTGCGTCAATAGTTTCATTTAATATAATTTTTTCATTGGTATTCATAACAGTTATACTGTTATATGTATTAGATTTTCTCTTGTAATAAAATTTCTTGTAAAATAATTGAAGATATTACTTTTTTTTCAGATATTTAGCTAATAAATTAGAAGCTAATCATAAACTTTTAAAAGATTCTAATAGACAGCTTTTTTCTATTTTGGATAGAAAAAGGAAAAGGAAAAATTATCTCCGTGTTTCTAGAGTCATATGATATTAGTTCATCAATCTTCAGCTTCTATAATAAAGACGAATATTAGATAGATGCAACAAAAATATAGTCATATAAATAGAATAAAACAAATATCTAGTACTATGCATCAATCTTTACATATTACCCATCAGAATAGAAAGATATTAGGAAACGCAATAACCTCTTATTGCATTCTCTAATCTTTTTTTTTTTTGAGGGCAACCAATTACACTCTATTGCCTTGCTTATGCATAAAAAAATGTACGTAACGGCCGTTGATTCAGGGCATGTTGCTATTATTGTATTGTCAACAATGAATGTAGGGCAATATTGATTTGATGGAATATTAGTACTAAAATAAAATATATCGATTGGAGTTATCCTTTTACCCTCCATTGGTAACTAGAATTGCCATTTTGAGAAACATTGCAGAAAATAAAGGAACTGTCGGATTCAAAAACGATAAGAATCTTTTTTGTAGTAAACGTCATAGATTATCAATTGGTAAAAAGAGTATTTTTTTTCATTGGTTCGTCTTTTAAATATCGAGCCTTCAAAATCGATACTTTTGAAAAAAATTGAAATTTTTTAAATAAAATATTCTATATCCATAAGTAATAGAGATCTTTTGAAATTTCTGTGCGATATTAATTGATGAAGAAGTTCACTAATGTTTCAAACGAATTACACATGCTCAGACACACTATTGGATAGATGGAAAGCAATCAAGAACAAAGTTAATATATGCATTATAAACCTCAACTCATGAAAAATTGAAATAGTATTTATTATGAATTAAATTTCTTCTAAGATCATAAAATGGCTCAGAGCAAAAAAGACTCTCATTTGACAACACGTGTAAAATACGCATACATTCTTTGATATAAATTTTTATCGGTTCACAGCTGTTCCTTTTCCCATTATTGCTAAAACACAGGATATATGTTGCTTCTGCTCACTCAATAGTGTGATCAAAGAAAAAAACTCAAGTCTCATGATATTGTTTAATTTCCTTTTTTCATCGCATGATCGCTGAATCTATCAAGCCATCCTACACTAGGAGCAGGACATTCGGTGGATTAGAGCATATCATTGGCATATTAAAGAGGCTAATACTTTATCTATAAAATTATTTTATCAGTGGCTCTTATGGAATCGCTATGGAGGATAAAAGGTTAATGATGTACTTCTATTAAGAAGATCTTCGACTGAAATTCATACACAATGTCAATCCGTAGTTGAAGTATCTGTTATCGTAAGTATACAATTACTTGAAGTTGTTCTTGATGTTAGTATTGTTTGAGGAAAGCAAACATCAATATCTATAGTTAGAATGCCATAATGAGGTATGACATTCGCCATTATTGGTGTATTTATAACTTCATTGCCTGACTGAGGTTGTATAACAATCGATGTAGTGAAGTTTTGTTATGTCTTGATCAACTAAGAAATTATTTGGGATATAATGGAAATAATTGAAAATAGTTTTCCATATCTGTCTAAACTAAATATAGATAAGTGCTAGATTTTGATTAAAAATAACAGTTGAAATCATCAACGTTCGCATATAAATTGTCGATTAGTAATTGTTGACTTGGCAATAAGGAATTTAAAACAAAAAATTAAAATATACCAATAGATTAAATATTCTTCAATCGATAATCTTATAAAATATTAAACGAAAATTATCAATGACGACGACTGATAATACTTTTTGCTATTTCAAATGAAAAATAGATTGAAAAAAGAATTTTTATAACTAGGTTTTTTTTTAATTGGATAATAAGTTGTTACTTCCAAAAATCAATAATGTGATATCTATAAGGTTTTTAAAGAATATACAAACTATTTTAGATTACTATCATATGAAATCACTGAATGATGTTTTCTCGTTTGTGAATCAAGACTTAAAAGGACTATTGAAGTATACAGAGTAAAAATATACACTCCCTGAAGATCATGATAGTCGTTGTTGATATATAATCAACAATCGTATATTAATAATGGCTTGTTAAAATATAGTATTTACATAGAAGTATTTCAATGTGATGTTATGAAGTCCTTTAGAGATAGCATCAATTCATTTTTGGATCTTTTCACCTGTGGAAAATTGCAAAGAATAGACAATCATCCTCAATACTCTCCTTTGAATTCGCCATGTCTAAAACAATAAGATGTGACTCTTTAAGCGCTTGAATCTCCTCATATTTCGATACAAAACAATAGTCATGATTTGCGTAGAATCCATCAAGTTCAAAATTTTCGGACCTGAACTCAGTCGAATCGTACTTTGATACTGTCAATGAAATTTTCTAATCAGATTTTGATAGTCATCCGAAGATTCGAGTTACTTTTCTCTGATCCTTTGTATTCAATGATTAGCGCACCCTACACTAGAGCTCGCCGAGTCACAAATTTTTTTGACTTGGACTCATTTGAGTCGAATGTGAGTCTTCAGTTTACCCGCACGAATCTTTAGAGTACTGAAGTCGTACATTTTTCCCTTTCGTTAAACTCAACTTAAAAACGATTTACCGTTTGACGAGATTTCTTTGTTAGATGTTTGACATGACTTCATCTAATTAAATGTTTAATTATGACTAAACAATTTCATGTAAAGTTAAATAAAATAAATTATAAATTAAACATTCATATTATTTTATTATTTAAATGATTTTTCTATTTCTATTTGTACTTAAAACAATTATTGTATAATTATTCTTGAGAATAAAATGAGTTTGATAAATAATAACAAATACGAATATTTATTGCTTTAAGAAAATTTTTTTAAAAATTCAAATAAAATTTTAGAAAATTATTATTATTTTATTTATATATACAAAAAGGAATTATTAATATCAAAACTACAAATTTTAATGATTAGTTCACCGGTATTATTTACTTGGATAATTGTTTTTTCTTCAGATCTCGTTTATATTTATATTTAACACAAATTATAATTGAAATTTATTATTTTTTTGTTCGTTTAGATACTGTTGCACAAGTTTGAACTAAAATAAAAATATTCTAAATATTGTGAATTAATTGCAAATATAAAAACCTGTAATGTCAGCATTGATTAAATTTCGTTTTGAAGGTTGTTCTGAGAAGAAAAAGAATATATTCTCATTTGATACATTAAATAATTTATTTTTATTTACTTGATCGAATAAAATTCGATAAACAAATTGTATCGTCATAACAACGATAATTATCCTTAAGAATACAAAATAAACGTGGTGATAATGATTCATGTTCTGCTGGATGTAATTTTATTGTTGATTGTTCATCAAGTTGATATAATGGTTGACATTCTTTTAATTTATCCCATAAAGTTGTCATTTGTAAATCTAATCTAAATAATTAATAATACATAATAGAATAATAATTAAAATTATATTTTCAATTGAATTACTTAAAATCGCCTTCAAGTGTTAAATTATTTTCATTAATATCAAATTCAATAGGATTAACAGATGCTGTATCACGTGTAAAACCTTTTGGTAAAAATCCTTTATCACGATGTTTAAACCAAATTCGTATTCCATTTTGTAATTTTTCTGAGACAACAAAAACAGCAAGACGTAGATTGCGTTTATTTCGAAATGATTTTGGAATCTAAAATAACAAAATAATTTTATATAAACTAGGTTGTAGCCCTCTGCGCTGAAAAGCATTTCGTCGAAAGACTTGTAGGATGCTTTAGATTGTTGTGAGCCCTTTAATTCTTATATAGGTCAACTCATTTTGTACTCACCCTTATCTTTGGGACGTCCTCCGTGGTCAAAAAGTACTATCGACGAAGAGCATATATACTCTTTTTGCTGCCGAGATACAGTATTTTTTACAGAAATGCCATGATCCTCTCAAGAACATCAGGAAACCTAAGTTTGGAATTTCGATGTAAAACTTTGCATAGAGACAAGCCTTAATGAGAATAGTTTATTATGAAAGTTTTTCAGATTTTTTGATTTCGTCTATTCTGAAAACAAAAAAAGAACATCAGAGTTTGCCATTGTATATGAGCGGCGTGAAAAAAACATGTTTTTACTATAGTCCTATCTTAAGATTCAAGCAATTGAAAAAGCTGAAACTTTTACAATAAACTATTCTCATTAAGATGTATGTCTGTAAAAATTTCTTACATCGAAATTCGAAACTCATTTCGCTTGGTATTCTTGAGGCAAATCACGGCATTCTAGTAAAAAATACAGTATCTCAACAGCAATAAGCTATTAATCCGAACTCTATTCAAGGCATTAATATTTCATTAGAATCGACATGATGTATATAGTCATGATTCAAAAGTGATTTAACACTTCCCTAGTCGAGACTCCCTAGGGATTCTTTAGGGAATTGATGAGTATTATCAGGGTCTCCCCAGAAGTCACCATTGGAATTCTCTGAAAAATTCAAATTTATGAAAATTTTACAGGGACTCTCCGAGGAGTTTTAGGAGAATCCTGAGATATGCAACCCTCCCGCGGCCTCACGACAGGGATTTCACACTTTTCAGGATCTTTCCCAGCGATTTCGTTGATGAGAGTCGACTAGAGTTAGAAACGTTTCCTCGTAATATGTCAGACATATTGTACATCATACACGTAGTCTCAATAATAGGATATTTAGGTAGTTTCGTCTAGTCTAAAAAAATTTACGCGATGTTTTCACTATCAACTTGACTCCTTAACCCTTTCAGTCCGGGTTTTATTTTTTTATAATTTTAATTGTATAATTATATAATATTTATAAATACAAAAATTTACAATAAAAAATGTTTTTTTAACACAAAATTAAAAAAAACGACTAAAATAGATAAAATATGTTGTAATTTAAATAAAAAAAAATTTATTGTATAATAGTACCCTCTATTTATAAATAGTTAAACTGCGTCCTATATATAGGACACCCGAACTCAAAGGGTTATTAATACGAGCATTCAGAATTTAGAAAAAGAATAACATATTACCGTTGAATATTACTGTTGAGCTATTAAACTGAAAAGTTCTTTATGTAGTCGATTGACTTAAGATATATTTATAAACAGTTTAATGAAAGTATGAGTGGTATATAGTACGAATTCTAAACGTTAGAACTAGTATAATTATGACTGATAGATGTACATGAGTAAACAACAGTATAAATTGTATTTGTATATCTCTGAGAAAAAAATTGAACTAACAATATCAATATCATTAGAATGTCTCACAAAGATTTTTCCATTATTTTGCTCGATTTTCAAAAAATTTCCTATAGACTTCACTTATATTTGGTCTATAAAACAAAAATATATGTTTTGCTTTCATACATTGTTTGTTTTTTTTTGGAATGATTTGTAATTGATTAATTGCACGTACAAAACATAATGGTGAATCAAAATTTAATCAATAAGCTAAGACGTATTTCGACAGTGATACATTTTATTTTAGTACAGGGGGAAGGGTGGGTAATATAAGAGAGAAAATTAGTTTCATCTTTGTTAATACTACTTACACGAATTGTTGGCCATACTGAAAGCATTTTTTGTGCAGATGTTTTAATGCCTTGTATACGTGTAATATAACCATTGGGTTTTGTTTCTTCTTTTTGATTGAATTTATCAGATTTATAAATATCTTTTTGTTCAGGTTTTACATCACGTGAAAAATACAAACAAATACATTCTTTATTTAGTTGTGTTGAATTTTGAATTGAATATGAAGAATTATTTTGTAAAGGCATTGAATCTCCAACTGTAATAATAAATAATAAAATATAATTAATATTATCTAATCATACAAATATTTTTTCTTCAATACGTTACTTGCAATCGGTTCTAATGAATCATTATTAACAAATGAATCTGAAACAAAAATACAAATTCAATATATTTATTTTGGATAGTTCATATATATATATATATATGTAAAATTTTACTTTGATCAGATTGTCTTTCAAAAAGTAATGCATCGGATAAATCTGGAGAACAAGGATCATTATTTGAGATTAAATCGTTCAAAGGTAAATCTATTCAAAATAAAATTTTTTAAATTTTATGTGAAAATACAATATTGAGTCTTACTAGAATCAGATCGATTTTCATTAGGATACGCATTTAATAATTCATCACTATTGAGATTATTATTATTATTATTATTTGTACTTGTTGTACCAAGAAGTCCATCTATAAACCAATAAATAATTTCATTTGATGTGTTATTATTTTATTAAAAGAGAAAAAAAACAAATCTTACTTATATCAACTGATTCTTTACTAAGTAATGCATTTGATAAATCTTCCTTATGACAATCATTATCATTTGTTGTATTATTATATATTGGTAAATCTATAGAGAAAAAATTGATTTAATTAATTTTGTTCTTTAATTACAAAAAATTACCT